TCCAACCAACCTACCCCATTTCTACCTCAGAAGTCTGCAAAAACATTAGCAGAGCAGCTAACGGTTGAGATGCCCCAAAAGCCTACTCTCCCTTGCAATTGACTGATGAGTCCCTTTTCCACCATTTGCAGGTAGGTTGAATARCACTTGCTTCCTTGATCAGTGCCTCTTGTATCCTTTCATCACCAGCTTTTKAATAGACTTCTCAGAGTGCCCAAGATCACCATTACGTTTTAATCCAATGTCCTGTGTGCTTCTACCAACCTTGGAACTGTCATGGACTTTCATCTATCCTAGACAATATTAATTGGAAGTTAGTAACTAATATTTCTGGACCACCTAGGTTTCCAAAACCATCTACTGTGCCCATCTTATAGATTTGCCACTTATGAAAGCTCATTTAATGACCCAACTAGCAATCCCGCTCCCACATGGGTCAGCTACCAAAACAGTTTCCCAATCAGGTCAAGTAGGGAATTTCCCTACACACCCTACCTATTTTCTTTGTCATGGAAAAATTATGTGACTGATCTGATCATCTAGATCATCTATCAGATAAAGGACCTATTGTATCAGCTTTCCTATCTGCCATAGAGCTTCAACGGTACCCGAAACTCTGAAACCCAATTCGAGATCCAATGCGATTACTTTGGGTTCAGATGGTCCAGACAGATAAATGAATCAAACTCGGATGCTTCAAGTAGGTTGATAATTGGATTGAATTCAGATGTCTTGCCATTTGAATATAAATACAATATTATAGTTGGGGTTCTAAGTTTACCAAAACAACATTCATCAAAACAAAAGTTTAACAAAACAACCAACATTTATTCAGATTCTTTGAGTACCATCAACAACTCAACTATAGAAGGTACTGAAGGAAAGAACAGTCACCACTTGCCATCAACTGTTGCTACTCATTGTTGACCAAAGTACTGAACAGAAGTCTGTGACTGTTACTTGCTGTAATACAAATGATCTGATGTGGAGAAAATAATTTGTACAAACACTGAAAACCCCAAACTAATTTTGTAGATTGCTGTTTTGCTACTTGAGTACTTCTTACTTTTTTAGATCTTTTTTTTTTCTTTTAAGCTTTTGAGATCTGGGGGTTGGACAGTTGGGCATCCCATGGCTGTCAGACATAAGTAGGAAATTCAAATTCAATTGAAACAAATTAGGTTTTGACCAGAGATGTCTAGCTTGTACTGCTGGGGCACCACCTAACTTCTTGCTTCTTATGCTAAGGAATATATGGGCCTTATCTTTTTACATTTTTTGTTCTTCCTTTTGCTTCCCATTCATTTCAGTTCTTCACATGCCTTTCCATTTGGTGCATTTCACCCTATACTGCAGGTCTGCAACCTAGCGTTTTAAAATGCATACTTGCATGGACAAGGTGCATTTTAAGGCATGTGCTTTGCTTGAACATAAGTTCAATCCCTTTTAAAAGGTGAGCACTTGGCTGAGGTGCAAGGTGTGACTTAGGCATGCATTTTTTATAAATTTGCATTTTTAGTTATGTACTTTTGTAAATTGTTGTGTTTTAAACCTTTGTAATAGTATATTAAGTTATTAACTTCTAAATAACCTTTTATTGGCACTTATTCACTAGCAATGATGTATTAACTTAAAAAAAAAAAAGCAAAACAAAGACCTTTTGAATACCTGAAGCCCTAGTTGTTGACTTGTTGCAGATGTCCGTGGCAAATTTTCCAGTAAATAAGCAATAAAAATATAACTAATATTGATTCCTAACACTAAAATCGAATGAACTGCAACCAGATTACCAAAATCACAAAACCGACTGCTTGCCAAAAATTTAAGTTGGGGGTGTTGCGTCTGAATCTTGAGGCTTATTGGCCCTCTACCTCCAATACATCAAGAGTGCAAGATGTCTAACATCAAATACAATAAGAATACGATTAATTTCATGTCTCACCTTGTTCCTTGCACCTCAGGTGCTGAATGCCCTTAATGCATTTCTTGCACCTCTACAGAGAAGATACATAACGGAGGGCTTTTTATCTTAAACTTCAGGAAATAGATTGAGAACATGGTGCAGACAAATGCACACATGCGTACAGTAATGGGTATATTGGTTGGGTCATTTAGGGAAGTCCCTTCCATGTGGGGAGTCCCCCTGATTCCTCATCCCACCCCACCCTTGCCTTTATCCATGGAAAAAATTTGGGGCAAAAATTCCTTGCTACATACTCAAAATAAAGCCTCGTATATGAGCAAGTTTATATTAAAAAATAGAAGTTTAGATGGCTATAACCGATTGGACATAACTCCAATACAAGGTTGGAGATAGGGCTGATTAGGGCTATAATCAGATTGGATCTACCTCTATTTGAGTTTAATTTGAATGAAGAAATGCCTCATCCAAGTTCGATCCAAAATCTGAATGTTAAGCCGAATTTTAATTCAATCAAATTTGTTGGATTTTTGGATCTAATACGAGTCTGATAAGTTATCCTAAAAGACATTTTCTTCCACTAGATGTTAATGTAAATAAAGAAAAGTCTTTAAAAAATGCAAATGTTAAATAGAAAACATGAAGATTGATCTAATGGCCTTAAAGCAAAGGTGCTTTGAAGCCAATAAATTCAAATAGAAAGCTGCTCATTAGAAAGCTACGAGTGATAGATTGATTGAAAAATTTGAAATCCAGTTTTAGGATGCACAAAAAATGATTAAATGTTTGGAGGAGAAAATAGAGTGGGTTTGTAGGATGCACAGAAACACCCAGTATCTGGCCACCCAAAACTTATTCAAACATAGAGTTAAATAGAGAAAAAACAAGAGTTAGGCAGGTTTTTGTTTGATGATGGAAGCCTAGCAAACATAACTAGCTTCCTTAAACTAAAAGCATTACATGGAAAAGAGAACCATTGGATGAATAGTCTGGAAATAATATGTATATCTCCATGTAAACGCATAGACATTGACCTACAGAGGTCTAGACTCTGGACCAATGCACCCCAATCCCATAAAGAAGAACTAGAGGTGGGGACCAATCCTGGGATTTGGGCTTGAGAAGAGGCCTAAGGGATTCTGAAATGGGGATGGTTGATGATTTGACCACTCAGTTAGGGGAAGTCTTTATTGATCAGTCTTGTAGGGATAGCAGGATTTGGAAACCTTCCCCTACAGGTTTTTCAATTGCTCTTCTTTCTACAACATTTTGCTTCAGACCTCTAACCTTGCAGGGAAATTTCCTTCAGAGGAGGTGTGGGGCAGCCCTATACCGTTGAAAATCAATACCTTGGATTTATTGCAGAAAAAGAGGCCAAATATGTGCCTCGCCCCCCATGTTTGTAGTCTCTGCTTGGGTTCTGGTGAGACAATTTCACACTTATAAATCTCATGTCCCTTTGTGTTATTTATTTGGTCTTGGTTCTCTTCTCTCTTTGGCTGCAGGGTTAAGGGTACAAGTAGGGTTAGCCGATTCGAAGAATTTAGACAGCACCTGGCCCAGGTCCATTCAAATTTTAAAAAATTCTCAACCCGAGCTCATCCAAGTTGCACCCCTAACCATTACCAATCAAAAAGAGTTATCAGCATCAATGCAATATAACAATCTAGGAAGAAGTTGAGTAATTAGCCAACAAAACTTACAGGAAGTGTTTCCCATATTGCTTCGTCGCTTATGCTTTCTTCATCTCCAGGCATTAGAGCCCTACACATCCTGAATCAGAATAAAAAAACACTGGTCATCAGCATTGAACTAAACTAAAAACAATTGCTCCAAGCATCAGCCAGAAACAGCAAATCAGAAGTTCTAAAACTAGAATAGAGACATTCTATTATATTTTTATTAGTAAAATATAATCTTTTTTACAGATAAAAGTCATATAGTTCAAATCTTTGTAAAGCTTATACTTCCTTTGTATTGCTTTTGCACTAGTTAATGTCTTTTCTTCTATATTATTCAGATTTTATATTACTGCCAAAAAGGAAAATAAAAAATATGACCACTTTAATTACTGCAATTGATCAAATACCTCAAACAGTCTTCTTTTATAACATCAATAAAATCTAATGACAAAAAATACCTGAAATTGTCAATGAGAATGATTATTTCAAATGCCAACAAGGGAAGAAAAACAATCTTCAAGTTTACAGCTGCAAAACCATGAACTGCACAGAAGGGGGAAAAAGGATGAAATAATAGAAGATTCACTGGTGGAGTACAAAGCTCACAAAGAAATAACAATAATATGAAGGCTATTACTTATTAGAAATTTAGAATGGACCTAAATTCCAAATAATGTCAAAAGTTTAACCACTTTTCATGTCAACAAGAGCATTTTTCATGCTGAATAAAGTTTAGAACAAAATGATAAACATGAAGATCAAGTAAATGACATCCTCTAGAAGTGTACACTAAAGCCTGACCCTTGACTGTTATTACCATAAATGCTCTCCAGATATATACAAAGAAGCAGTTCAAATGCAACGAGCAATGGTGTTGCAACGACAGCATGACAGGGTGCCCACTGTTCAAGAAAAAGAATTGTATAGCACTATCACCACAGTTGAAAATATTACAAGTTAACACTAAAAACCATTTTCATAAAATAAAAACAATTTCTAAAAAAGTTATAGAGGCATTATAACATACATGCCGATCACGTGGTATTGATGGAGCAGGTAAAGAGAATCTGCCTCGTGCAGTGACTGCATGAAATAGACATAGTGGGGCAAAAATGATCCTGTGTGGTTAAAGTCAAAACTGGTAAGTAGCCAAAAATCAAAAGTAAATAAAGGATAAAAATAGAAAACTAGTTTATTCTTTTGAATGCAAAGTGATCTCATGCCCAGCACCCACATGAAGACATCACCATTCACTTTTTTTTATCAAATACAAGGAACTTTAACAGAGACAGTAGCTGGCTGATAGAGACATAGAGAGTATGAAAGTAATCTTCTCTTTTTTTCTTGCATACGGACAGTACCAGAAAGGTTCCAGTAACCAAGTGCCAACCAAAAACATCATAGATTTGTTTGCAAACATGAGAATTAATATTATTCAATAACATGCCTAAAAGATGTTTACATATGACAATATGTTTTTTCCATTTTCCATGGCATGGCTGAATTTGTTGTAAAGCCAATAGTTAATCCAGAAAAGTCTATCAATATTTCATAGATAAAAATTAACCACAATAATCAACTTAGTCATTAAGTGATTAAAGAATATCACCCTATTCCATAAGAAAATGAAAAGGTATGGTCACTTGCAATTCCCGAAAAGTCTCTCAATTAAAAAACAAGGTAGTTACAGAGATCAAGTCCCTTTGCCACTTAAAAGATTAACAAAACATTGATTCCTTTTTAAGCAGTACAAAAATGAACAGAATAAAAAAAAAAGTGTGAAATTAAGTATAGCAGAAATTTACAACTCATAGATAATAGGATAAGCAGTGGTGCACGTTGCTTGCTAATGACAAAATTTCAATTGATGAAACTAAGTAGGGATTAAATGCTTATAAAAATAGGGATTAAATGCAACTCTATAGTTATGAAAGAACATCAAGAATATTTGTTTCTAAATAAGTCAAACTATGGGAATATTTACATATATGGTAGAAAGTAGAAACAGAAAGGTAGCCCCTATAGGCACCTCAAACAGAACATTTATTATTTGTGTAAGTTATATGAGAGAGAGAGAGAGGAGGAGGAGGAGGAGGAGGAGGATGTTTGTGCAAAAGATAATTGTAGGACCGCTTTTGGGGTAGCAAACCAACCTATAATGAGTGAGCCAAGTGAAGTACTTTAACTCCTAGAAGATCCTTAGAACTATATATAAAACAGGTTAAAGAAATAAAAGTCATACATTTTCTATCTCTTGATCAGTAACAGTAAAAATTTCGTATTAATAACACTATAAAGAGCACCAAAAGAACTAAAACAAAGTAACAGACATGGAGGTCCTAGATCATTGGCCTCCAAAATAAACACCTAATCCAAATGCATTAGAGGATAAGCAAATACTTGAAATTTGACAGTTGCTTACCAATAAAAAAATAAAACAAAAACTTTGGTGTTGTTCTTCTTATCATGGAAATCCAGGCACCCAGCTCTTCTTGAGTAGCTGGATTCTTCAGACTTCAGAGAATACTCAGGTAATATACTTCAGCTTTTCAAGTCGAGCAGTGAAAGGAAACTCTCTGGGAACTAAGTCTCTTCCACTTTTTCAAGTCCAGCAGTTGAAGGTAATAGTAGTTCAACACTGTCGAGTAGAAAATGTCTGGATATCTTCTAAAGAAGATAGTCTTAACCTTAGAACCCTTAGCCACTTGTCAATGAAGAAGCTAAGGCTCAGTTTGGAAGGAGTAAAAATGCAAATATGTAGAGTGAAAAACCTTGTATTTTGTATTATTTGTATGTACTTGTACCGTGCATATTTGGATTTGTACTCTTTCCAAACTGAGCCTAAGGCTTTGTCTATTAACCTGAATAGCCCATTCAGAATGACTCCCAGGTTGGCAGAGGGATGGTAAGATCAGAGTTAAAGGTGGGGCCATGGGGGTCCTTGCAGCCACCTGCGACAGGGCATGGGCAAGATTGCTAATGAAAAGTTAAATTTGCATTGTCAGCCACGGGTTGTTTTACTTGTTCCCTACAGTCTGGCCTTAGATTTAGGGGTTTTCTTTCACTTCACTCAATAAAGTCTCCTTGATCATCATTAGTGATTAAAAAAGGAAGATGTGATAGTGGATTCCATGGCCAGGGCCCAAGAGGGTGTAGAATGAGCAGTGGTTAGACATTTTCAAGGTGTAAAAGCAAGGCTAGGCAACAGGGGAGCGCCTAGGCAATGGATTTTTTTGGTTTTTTTTTTTGAATAAAAACCAAGAATTCTATCCCCCTAGGTTCCATGGAAACCAGCTACCATCTTTCACAAGTAATTGTCTATAATCTTCATAGAAAATGCATAAACTTCATTTGAAACATAGAAAATCAACATGTTTATGAAAAAATGGAAAAAAAAGAAATTTCAGAAAATAGAGGGGCTGAGCCCCTTTTTTTTGTCCTAGGAAAAGAAAACAAAATCAGTATGTATAAATTGGACAAGTTTTTAGTTGTTCACTTGTTCCTTACCTATTGGTTCACGTTTTGAAGTCTTTGAGGGTTCAAGACAGCACATATGTCGATTGAACCCCAGAAAATAAGAAAATAAGAAAATAATAAAAATAAACTAATATTTTAACACAAAAACTGAATAATTTAGTTTAATAATTTATGTTTTATTATTATAATCTCAAAAAAAAAACAAGAATATAAAAGTATAATAGTACTATGTACAAAATACCTTGGTGATTAAGTGAAGCAATCCTCCATGGGCGCCTTGTTGCCTAGGCAGACACCTAGGTGTCACATTGACAACGATTCTTAAGGGGTTTACTTTGTATTTGGGGTAGGCTGATCTCCTTTGATTAAGCTCTGAACTCCAGCTATGGAGATCATTTGCTCCGCATTATTCTGTACTTTATCTTCTAACAAAATTGTGATCTGTTGCTGATCAAAAGATAGAATGAAAGAGAGAGAGAGAAGAAACGCAAGAAACATAATAGTTTGGCCTGTGATTCTATTGAGACACAAGAAACACTGATTCCAAGCTTCACACTTGTATATTTATTCTGTAAACCTATGAATATGGTCTCAGAAGTGCTAGCACAGTACTCTTTTTCTTTTTTTTTTCTTTTGTAGCATACTTCTGTATCTCAACAGCTAGATATTGATCTCATGAAATATAATGTCTCAAGGAAGTTTCAACATTAGGTGGAATATACATCAGTAATCCAAGGCAGAGTCTCTCATCTCTCATTATAGTTCTTTATGTGTGTGCAAGGGGAGTCCAAGTCGCTTGTTACAAACCCAACAGGTATATGGATATGGTTCCTGATTATGTGTGCACAAGGCATACACATGTTTGCCTTGGTATATGTGTGCACAAAAAAATAATTCCACTGCTAGTTCTTGCTAATGGTACTAAAACAGATTATTACGGAAATCAGAGAACAAAAAAGAATAACCATGTGCATTCACCAGACTGCTCACGATAAATTTCATTTCCCAAGAGACCTTATCTACAAAGTTGTCTTTCATAAGAAAGCGTTAAAGACAATTCCTTTTACATGAGAGTTTCTGCATCTTCCAAAAATTTTTCCTGCTTCAAGTGGATAAGCATTCTTGAAGACAAACTGAATACTCGAGTGACAAATAAAAAATGTTTATTGCCTATGGGGAAGAAAACTTAAATTCAAGTGGGTCCACGAGGTAAATCTGAATCCCTAATATTGAGAAATCAATAGTAGTCATTGTCCAAAGATTTTGTATGATTAAGAGAAGGTCTTCAAGAGGAAGAGTGCATAAGAACACCTCCCAGGAAGAAAAGCCAAAACAAAAAACTAGAATTCTGTCAGTGGGCATTATGGAGTACAAAATTCAATCTTCCTAACATTTCCTCATCTGGCACAGGGTATGCTTAACTGCTCAGAACAATTAATGACATTATGACAATGTAGTCTGCGTGAAGCCACATACATGTTGGTTTAAAAAACAATAGATTTAATGAACTCCTGATCAGATCCTGGCGTTTAAACATGTTTAAAGAAGACACATCTCGGATAATTACGATTTTCATCATTGAATCAATTTGTTGCATTTCATGTAGATGTAGGAATTAAACTATGTCTGACCAAAAACTGCTATTAAAAGGTGAAAAATCAAGCAAGAAACAAGTGCCCTAAACTTATGAAAGAGCCCATCCATAACCATAACTAAATGAACTGCATATAACTAAATTGTAGATTGTAAATAGAACTAGAGAAACAATAACTGGAAAATAAATCAAATTTCACTAAAAGGCATGCTTTTCATTGAAATCAATTAATTGACTACTACTCGGCAATCAGCCATCTCATTGCATAATATTGATCGAATTGCAAATACTAACCTAAACAAATAAAATGCATGCAAGCCCAACAGTAACAAGCCATTTCACAAATTACTACAATTTTCAACCAAAATCAAAACGACGCAAATCGGAAATGAAAACTAACAAACCCAAATATAAAAAAAAGGTCAAATTTTTATTAAATAACAACATGTAATTCGATAAATTACTGACCACCATGAGCAGAGGACGGCATGATCGAGCTTGAGCACGAGCAAGAGCGTGAAAGTAAAGAGTAACCCATGGGCTGCGAGAGCCTGAGCAGACTTTGCGACTCTCCTCCAGTTCATCGCCTTCCTTCGAATCATAACCCCTTCTAAAAACCCAAAAGAAAGGACACGCCGAGAAACAATCAAATACCCGCCCTCCTTCTCACTCTGTACGGAGTCAACTCAGTGAAGATTTAAAAAGAAACAGAGTATGACAGTTGAGAGAAGAGTAACCGTAGAGCGACGAGTGGCAGAACCAGGAAACCAGATGGAGGAGGTTTCAGTGGGCGCCATTGAAGAGACCTTTCGAATTGCAGCCCAAGAATTCAATATCATCCCTTTATGACTTCGCATTCACGCCAAAGCTAACGCCTTTGGCTTATTATATTAGCCCCTGTTAAATCGTTAACTCGAGCGGGAATTTAGATCTTACGGCTGAAAGCCTGAAATTGACGAACCAGTCCAGTCTTTTGTAGTAAAGACAGGGTTAATATGGTCATTTGGAAAGCTTTTGTCTGGTTGTGAATTATTATAATCAGTTATTTAAGTAAATAAAAAGTGTGCCTCCTGTTGGGTACCCTTTTCTGAAGAATCTAAGGAGCCTTTCATTCAACGGCTAAGATGAAATGGACCTACACTAGATCATATGGACCAATACAGAATCTGAAGTCTGAACGTCCCCACACGGTCGGCATACACAGTAAAATGGAGATGGCCAACCTGACCAAGCAGCAGACGTTCGCCCCACTTTTCCGGGTCCCACTTGGCCCGCATGAACCTACATGAAATGGATCGGGTCATGGATTCATTGAAATTTGAAAGAAAACCAGACATACCTATGTTTTTTATAAAGCTTGTCAGCTTGCTATTAAACCCCGAGTATAACCGGGTTTGTTGAACTGTTCTTGACCCGAGCCGTTTTCTAACTCTGCTGTATGTCATGAATATTTGAAGTAGGTGTACTATTCTATTTTAAATACATTTAATTGGTTTAGCTGTCAGATTCTTATTCTTATCCAAAACATTTTGTTTTTTCCTTTTTACAAGTAACGAAACATTAGTAAAATAGAATTAAAGGTATAAAATAGCTGGGCATATGACATGACGGTTAATTAGCTGATGCGATGCCATATTCCTTTCCAAACGGTGCTTTCAAGCGGCCCACCATGTATTCAACTTGGCATGTTCGATTTGAACCTATATGATTTAATAGTTAGCACGCTAATACATGAGTTTTCTTACGGGAAAAGCAATCACCATCATCATAATAGGATGATAGCATTATCCTAATTTTACGGGTTTGCTTTGTCGTTTCATTTAAAATTTATATCTAAATATCATATATTGTTAGTAATTATTTACATAGATGTCATATTTGTTGTTAGATATGAGTACTTAAATCATTTAATTTTACTCTTACCCAAAAATTATTTATTTTTTCCTATTACATATATCATTAATTTTTTGTCTACCTATTCAACTTGTAATTGAATAAATTGATCCATTTTTCTCAAGTCTTTTATTTATTTATTTGCTGTTTTGAGTGAAAAGCAATGGATACCTAAATTGTTTTTATTAGGCTTTCTCTTATGTAAATGTAAAAGTAGCCAAAAAACTTAAATATTTTACATAAAGGCCTAAATTTAGGTCTTGAAATTTTGTTTTCCAAGTTAACATGATTAAACTATGAATCAGCATTAATTTTTTCCTCCATAAGGAGAGAATTTTTAGTTAGGGGATGCAACTTGGGGAATTGAGAACTGCTGTTCATAGAGTGCTTCTTACACCAACCTCACAGCCACACCCCACTGTGTATTGGAATATTTATCCAAAAATAATAAATACAAGTATGGAAATATTTCCAATGTACAAGTAAGGCTTATAGATCCGGGCTACAACTTGAGATCGCTCAAGTTTAAAACTTGTTAAAATTTGAATGACATTCTCTCAAAGGCCTGAACTCAAATGCAATACAAATTCTTCAAATCGAATACCTGACTTGCACCATTCTTACTTATGATATCCATGTAAACAGCATCATAACATGCAATAAATTCTTTCTGGTAAGTGGTAACCTTCCCAAGACTAGTAGTCTATATGAAATGGATCTATTTGATCTTGTTTGTATTAAGGGCGAAACATTAAAAAAAAAAAAAAGAATGTTAACACAGACCAGGAGAAAAGCTGAAAAGATGGATGGGATTTTTAATGATATATGGTTAGTGTATAGCTTTATAGTGAATAAACTATTACTGAAGATGATAGTGACATAACTGCCATCTTTAGGGTAAGATATTTTGATGGCCAACCTTATGATCCGCCCAATTTTGGCATCTCATCTAGTCTTTTTTTGGTAAGTTCTCTTCTGGGTTCATGCACCGTTCAGATAAGTAGTGAAACAAGTCGTTATCCGTCCAAAAATCTCTTTTTCAATCAATCCATTTATGTGGGATCTAAGTAGAGAGCTTGAACTTGCACGACCCCAAGGTGAAATCTTCTGGCTGCTACTACGGATGTAGTACATAATTAAAAATAAAAAATAATTAAATTATTCATTATTTTATTATTTTTGTTTTGTTTAAGTTTTTTATTATTATTATTTTTTAATTATTTTGACAAAAATAATAAAATAATGGATAATTTCTTTATAACTAAACAAAAACATTTAAATGAAAGGTGCATTGACTAGGACATGTGTCACACAGTTATTACGTACTGTACTCATTCATTATGCTTACCTAATAATATACCTACAACATCTGGACCCACTATGGATACAGACCATTCATTAGACAGTAAAGCCATTGGATTGCCCAGATTGCTAATCCCGTGGTAATAGGATCTCTTAAAAGCAAAAATTCTTCGAAAATACTTTGAAAGGACAAGGTCACACGTCCGAAACATTTTTTATGAATTTAACATATATGTATGGAAGATATTCCTAATATACGGCTAAATATGATATTTGCATTCTCCAAATTTTTGCTTTTACAATATTTGGGCTTTCAAATCAGACAAATAGCCCAGCTTATTGATGATCTTCACGTTTAATACTAGTCATTCAAACTTCAAATTTTAGGGTCCGTTTGGTTCGCGATTGGAATCAGAATCGGAATGGCCTATTCCCCCTACTTGTTTGGTTCATACAGGAATCGAAATCGGATTCAGATTTATGCTGTTTGGTTCATTAAGAGGCAGGAATCAGAATCAACCTGATTTCCAATTTTGCCCCTAATAAAAAATAAAAATGCAGAAAATGCATGGACATACCAAAAAAATTTGCAAAAATTGCAGAAATTACAAAATTGCAGAATTTTTGCAGGAAAATGTAGAAATTACAACACTTTTGCAGAAAATTCAGAAAAATGCATGGAAATACTGTAATTTCTACAGAAATTTTGAAGAAAAATACAAAAATTACAAATTTGCAGAAATTTTTCGAGAAAATGTAGAAATTACAACAAATTTTCAGAAAATTCAGAAAAATGCATGGAAATACCTAAAATTTTGTAGAAATGGCAGAAAATTGCAGAATGTTACAAAAAAAAATTGCAGGAAAATGCAGAAATTACAACAATTTTGTAGAAAATTCAGAAAATGCATGAAAATATCAGAAATTTTGTAGAAATTTCATAAAATTATAGAATTTTGAAAGAAAATGCAAAAATTACAAAAAAAATGTAGAAAATTCAGAAAAATGCATGAAAATACTAGACATTTTGCAAATAATTGTAGATAATTACAGAAGTTTATAAAAAATAAAAATACAGAAATTTTGTAGGAAAATTAAGAAATTACAACAATTTTGCAGAAAACCAAGTTATTTCTTCATGGTCTAGACTCTTGGTTTGCAAAGACTAGGATACTAGAATTTATTTTTCTCTGGAACATGAAAGAGATGTGTCAATTTACCACTACAACGAGTAAAAGTTTACATAGATACCCAAGTGTATTCTCTTCAAGAAGCTAATGTCATGCTTGGGCAACTGTCAACACTGCAAGCCATAATGTTCCTATAATCTCGTGAGATTCTAAAGGAGTCATAGACCTTTCCATCACTGCTATTCTTGTACTCAAACAACAGATTTGAGTGGTCAAATGTTGTAAGCTTTATGAATCCAAAGTCCCGGTCCTTGTAATAACTCCATCTAGTATGTATTTTGGTGAATTCTGCAAGGCTAGCGCCTCTTCCCCCAACAACTACATGGATGGTTCCATTCAAGGGACCTTGATAGTATGACTTTCTTTATTGGTACAAACATTCTGTAACAGAAGCATGACACCCATTGTTAGTTTATGAGGTGAAGAATCTGGATGAACTAACAAGCATGTTTGCTACCATTTGAAACATTTCAATTTAATATAGAAGAGGTTGAATGCTCATTTCTACAAGATATGATAATCTACACTAATAACAAATCAATTAATAGACAGTTAACCATTATATGCAAAAGGTATTACAGATTGGATGTTGGTCAGAATCCTTGAGAGGAAAATGGTAACAACAATCCATCCCTAAAATACCTTGGAAATTCTAATTCTAGAATAGGAGTTTGACACATGGACTAGAAAGATTTAACAGGGAATTTTTTAAAGCTTATAATGTTAGTAAGTCTGAAATTTGTGTAGAACCAAAGAATCAGGGAGCAAAGCAGATTGTCGTTTTAGAATTTTTAAAGCTTCAGTGTTCCACTCATCCTCCCTCACACCTACTGGGGCTATTCCTAGATCCCCACAAATATGTACCAAGCTGTTATATAAAAATTATATAATTAATTGTTAGAACATTAACCTAACAAGATTTTGAGACTATTTCTTGAAAGTTTGGCTAGAACACAGACATAGTGATAACACATACAAATGTATATGCAAAAGGAAAAAGCTACTTACACTGAATTGGGCCACAGGTCCTTCAGAAAACTTGTGTATGCCACCCCACTGCCTAAACTCAACCATTGTTCTATGATAGATGGTTTGGGTAGGCAAGGTAAGGTTGATGATGCTTACAGATTGTTTGAGAGAGTGGTTACCGGCTTCTAGAGGAAATGAAGACAAAGGGTTACCAATCCATAGTGGTTACATATGGATCAGTCATTCATGAGCTTTCCAATATTGATAGGCTTGATGAAGCATACATGCCCTTTAATTGAAGAAGTAAAATCAAGAGTAGGCATATATGTATTAAGGTATAGCAGTCTTATTGATGGTTTTGGAAAGGTTGGTAGAATAGATGAGGTATATCTTATCATGGAAGAGTTGATCCACAAGGGATTGGCACCTAAAGTGTACACATGGAACTGCATTCTTGATGCGCTAGTGAAGACGGAGGAAATTAATAAAGCCCCTGTCTACTTTCAGTCAATGAAAGACCTTAAATGCACCCAAAATGCCATCACTTAAAATATTATCATAAATGTGTGCCCAGAAAGCCAAACCTCAATTGTTTTTTAACTGATGTCATCTGTGTCAAATAAAATTACAGATATTATGAATACTTTTACTTTAGGTGTGTCAAATACACATCCAAGAACAAGCTTTTGCTTTTTAGGTACTTGTGGATGTAAAGAGAAAATTTATGCAAGAAGAAAAAGGTAGCTAGTTAACTACTGCAGTACTTTTTTTTGCAAGTTACAAGTTGTCTTTTAAAAGAACTTTAGGTGTTTAGGAATGAATAGGGAGTTCTATTTTTATCTGTTTTAGTTTATTAAAAGTTCTATAGGTTGTCWAGTGGGTATTGATTTGTTTCTGTTTTTCTATTTTATCTAAATACCTTAGGTATATTATGAATAATTTTCATTTGTTTGCAGTCAATTATTGGGCTGACTGCTAGATATATCTTAGAATTGGGCTTGTCTTGAATCAATCAATATACCTAMATACCTTAGAATTAWAAATTGTTTGYAGCTCAATATGTAAGATTATTGAGCTAGCTTGTCTTGAATTTCAAGAAATAAAAGGGTAAGATAATGACAAATTCTATTGGTCAGCAAGACAACAAGACATTGGACTGAAACTCATCCCACGAAAAGAAAAAAGAAAAGAGAAACGTGTGGACTCATTTGAACCACATCTCAGCTGCTACTGTTAATTAGAATAAACATGACACCAAACCTATTAACCAATCCAGATAGAAATCGGGATAAAGTGGTTGCTTGCTTGTAACTCTAAAATCCCTTAATTAATTGTCACTATTCATGTATAAGCAGACTGTTATCTAATTTGAAATTAGATTAGAATGTTATTGTACTCTGATGAACTTGATAGAGATCTTTCAAAACTTATTAGCTACAAAGATAGAGCTGAATCAGGTAAACAATAAAATAAACATRGAAAAATTCRAMCACCATACAGAACTAATGACCAAATAACTCTACTCACATAAGGATGCATTACAAACTGAAATTGGGAAACAAATTAACATGCATTCAGACCTGCTGTGGTTTGGTCTGGTCTGCAACGGAAAAAATGGGGAGGAATGAAAAAAATAAAGTGAGAGAGAAGGAGAGGAAGAAGAATATGAAAGAGGAGAGAAAAAAAATTGATGGTGATTTACCTCATCGTCACCGTTGCCTGAGTTTTAGTTCAGATCAATACTTCGAACTTCAGCTGCCTATGGAGGGAGTGACGAGAGAGGGGAATGAGGGTTAGAAAGTTGGAATCGGGTAGGGAGAGGTTTGAGGGGTTTTTTTTTGTCATTTTAGTCTTTTCTTTTATTAAATAGCGGGAATGGGATTCTGATTCCGGGGGGGTGGGTCGGGAATGGCTGGGGATTGCCATTCTGCCCGGAATGGAAATCGGATTCCGTTTTCACCGAACCAAACGTTCCGATTCCGATTCCGATTCCGGACCTCTATTCTTGCAAATCAAATAGACCCTTAATTTTTAATAAAATATCACCTATAAAAATGGAAATTTATTTTGCACGTGATAAGGCATATTGAATCCGATATTTTGTCTTGCCATTAACAGAGGATAGTGTGAGGAATTAATCGTTTTCCCTTGCTGAATGCTTCTGATACCTTGCCATCTCTTTTTAGCCGTTGTTGCAAGTTGGGCTGAGCCAAGTTCAGAACAATTTCTTTTGGCTGGCCCAGTTTAGAAATCAAGCCTACAGATTTTAGAAATCGTTGGTTATAAAGGAAAAGGCCCATCATACAAGGATCTATATACATACGTAGAACGGTAGAAGAACCAAATCAGAAACACTAAGAAAAGAAAAACTGCCACGGTGAGAAAACAGTAACTCTTCAAAATTCAGAAGGAGACGGTTTTGGTTTCAGTGAAAGATTTGACACTTTTTAGGGCTATGTTTTGGTTTAATGGAAAAAGTAGGAAAATGCAGAAAAATTTATACAAGGTTTGTAAAGGTTTCTTTCCCTTTTCCTTCCTTTTTCTACTATTTCCTTCAAACCAAACACAACCTATAAAACACTCGAGGGAAAAGCTACACTAACACGTCGATGGGAAAGATATGGAGAGAGCAATAACTTCGCATAGAAAAGGAAATAGGGAGGGAGGAGAAATGTAGAGTGTTCTCACATTTGATTATTTATTGAACTTGGACCATCACATCTTAAGCTTAATAGCTTATGGTGAGGCCCACCATGTGTTACAGTTAATGGCTTTTGTCATTAACTGAGCTTTTGCCAATTTTGAATGGGCCCGGCCCATAGCCCAAGCTTGAATCAGTATGAAATTTCATGGCTGAACCTGAACCCGGCCTTGAACAGGTCTATTTCGGGGACAAGTTTGCTGGCCGAGTTGTTTAGAGAAGAACTCCAATCAACCCAAGAATATTTATTTTATTTAAAATTTCCTAAATGAGTCCACATATTCCCTTCTTTAGACCAGCTTGTCAATGGGTCAGGACCCAAAAGACATGAATCGATTCAATTAAGATTGTTGATTAAATCAACGGTTTTTGGTTAAAAAACGATTTTAGGATGAAATGGAACGAATTACCTGACCTATTAGCAAATAAGTATGTTCTTACCAAGTAACTGGTTAAAAGTATAACTGCCAATTATAATATGATGTTATCGGGTCAGATCAGATAGTGCCAATTATAGATCCCATTAAGGTTTGGTTTGAAACTAATTCTGCACATTTACTAATTATCAGGTCGGGATTGGGTCTAGTACCCTTGTCCAAACCAGACCCAGCCTATTGATAGCTCTGCTCCAGACTTGTATTCATGGCTCAAGGTTCAGCTTAAAAGTCATTGTTACAATGGCCTAATTAACCAATCCCTTCTTTATCGAGGCTTTTCGCTTGAAATAAGGCTTCCATATAAATGGTGTCATTGATGGGAAGGAGAACAAACCTCCGGATATATAGTTTGAGTTCACGCTTGTACAGGAGAAAGTAAATAAGTAAATAAATAGAAAGTTGGGGAGCTTCACAGAGACAGTTATCAATAGTGTAGTTGAGTTATAAGAAACCAGATATCCTTGCTTTGCCCATCTTCATTCTTCAACATGATAGCTATAGTAATGCTTATTAACCCATTATTATATGGTTTTGATTTATTAATTTGCTTTCAAGTTTCAATCCATATATTGGGTTTATTTTTCTTCATTTAAGATATGGTGTGTATATAATGCTTGACCATGAGCATGATTTTGTTTCTTTTATGTAGATTTGATGCTATCAGTTATTATTATTATATTTAATTTAATTCATTATAAGGGCAACTCTCACCGATCATTATGAGCATGCTTATGTTGCATTAAACCATGAAAGCTGGTCCCTCCAATGAGTTTGGCTTTTTTGAGGGCAAATTGGTGCTCACACCCTTCGAGCAGCCCCTTGCAACCTTGCATTGGGAATATCTCCCATAAAATAAATCACATAACTATGGAGATATTTCCAACGCAAGGCTGTAAAGGCTGTTGGAACGGGCTTTGCCCTGACTGAAGCCGGACTGCTCTCCAATGGCATCCACTGGAGAAGGATTTTAGTTGGGTATAGGAGTCACCAATTTTTGACCATTTATGCTAAAGGTTGAAAATTTCAAAAAAAAAAAAAAACTATTGCTATATATCTAACTTAACTATTACAGGCAGAAACAAGATCAATGCTATATGTTAATGTCATCGAAATTCAAAAGAAAGAATATAAAAAATGACTAAAAATTAAGAAAATAAAGGACATAGAATCAAAAGCAAAAGAGATTACTTGCAGAACAGATAAGAGAATTTGTTTGATACAAAATCATGTTTGTGATACTGATACTGTAAAAACACTACCAGGCTACAAGTGTTGCATATTTGGACTACATAGCTGTTGCATCCTAAGAGCTAGCATTTTATACAGGGTGCAAGTAGTGTGCAACACTTATACAGACAATATGTTTTTGTGACAATATATACCTCATACTTGTACTGCGAAATATGTTTTTATATAGGCTCAGTTTGAAAAGAGGACAAATACAATACAAATACAAATATGTAGAATGTAAAACTTAATTTGTATTGTATTTTGTATGTATTTGCACTGTACATATTTGTATTTGTATTCTTTTCAAACTGAGCCATATAAATCAGAACTTGTGAAAGATATAATTAATACAAATAGTTGGTTTTTGTTTTCCTCATAAAATTTTGGGAGGGCCAGGCCCATGTTATGCCCAAATAGTGAACTTAATCACCACCCAAGGAAAACAAATGCTAATGCCATGATTTGATTGGTTTCATTTGTGCACTTAGCTTCTTTTCAAGTGGTTATCCTTCTTTGCCACTAGTTAGGCTTACTCCCTCCCCCCATTTAATAACATATTTATGCAGCCAGTGCCTCCAGTTGCACCAGGTCTGCTACTATAAATTACAGAGACATGTATAATGGGCTACATATATAACCAATCAAGAGTGACTATGCCAATGATCTATACACTTGGGGATGGCCCATTGTACACACCTTTGGAGAGAGAGAGAGAGAGAGAGAGGATGATATGAGGTCAGAAAGCATAAATTGCAGTGATAAGAAAATTCCTCCAACCAGACCCTACCCTGATTTTCTCTATACCAAATTCATCCTGTTTGGGGCAGGTTGTGGATTTGTTACCCAATTAACCCCCCATCCATGTTGCAATCCCTACCTAGAGCTAGGAGTGGAGATCGGCTTCCATCAGGGCAAGCCCATGCTCCATCACACCATCCCAACAGCCTCTTGCACCCTTGCATCGTGAATATCTTCCTATGAAATAAAACATATGAGTGTGGAGATATTCCTAATGCAAGGCTGTAAAGGCTGCTCGAATGGGTATTGTCCTAATGGAAGCTGAACTCCTAGGAGTGGCAACACAATCCACTTATTTCTATGCCCTTTTCAAAGGGATGAGTTGATTAATTAAGATAGAAAACTGTAATATCAATCTCCACCTGTCTTGAGCTATGTGCTTCAATATTGCCATTAAACAAAACTGTCAACCCTTATAAATCATGAAAAGTCGTAAACTTTGGGAGATGAAATTTAAGAAGACCTATTTAGCTTAGAAGATATATATAAAAACTGAAACATCTGAAGTAGGTTTGTCACTCTTGTTTAATTAATGCTATATAAGGCTTGCAAATGATACACTAACGCAAGAATATGGAGTTTTAAGTCCGCTGGACCGCTGCACCATAGTTGCAGCATTTTCTTTTCTTTTTCAAAATATCATGTGAACTGCTTTTTTTTTTTTTATTGCCATATATAACTGATGTGCACATATTTCATTAGGGGGTTGCAAGTGCAAAGAGATTTCTCTCAAGAATATGGTGTTTATGGAGAGAGCACATCTTCTGCAACCACGATTGCAGCACTCTTGTGATCCCCAATGAAACACGGAAAGGTCAGTTATGTAAATAAACTGTTTCTTAATTCTGATATGCTGCTGGTGTGTATATGTTTCATTGGAGGGCCACAAGGGGCAGCTGCGAGTCTGCGACCATGGTTGTAGTAGATGGGAACTTGTTTGTTGAACACATTGATTTAAAACATGAAAAAACTTCCAGACTTATATGCACCCATGCAATCTATTAATTTTGGAGGTGTTTGGCAAGTCTTTTGGACTTTTTGAAGATAGGAAGACCAAAATTTGGCCAAAGGTGGGAAGCTAGAAAGACCAATGCCCTTAAAAATCGCATGAAAGCTGAAAATGACCACAAATCTAGTAGCTTTAAATGAAGCTTCCCGTCTTTCTTTAAAGACAAGGCCACAAAATCTTATTACATCTTTTGGTCATCTAGGTTGTTAGAAGATCTTCCTAAAAAGACTTGTCAAACAGCACCATTGTGTGTATGATGATTCACATTTGAATTTGATTGGTTGTACATAGCTGCGATTACAATGTAGAATTTGAACCTAAGGAATGCAATAAGAATAAGAAGACACACTCTCTGGGAACCTCTAAAGTCTAAACATGTCTAATTGTAGGCATTTCAATGATATAGGATAAGATTTGTCAAAAATTAAAGAAACACATAGCAATTCATTCAAACAACAGACCAATATTCTCCTTATAAATGAGTAAATATATATTCCCACACTCCCAATAAGAAAAAAAAAAAAAGATACAAAATGAGAAAAGAAAGCCCAATAATATGTACATTCCCTTCCCAGCTGAGCTGAGTAGTTCTCGTGACACAATAGACGACATACTCATCCTGGGCTAGCTTGCAGTTCATTTGCATGTCTCTTTTACTTACCCTGTTAGGGTTTTCACTCACACACACACAACACAAGATGAGAAGACAACTCTGTACGAGAAGAAGACATGGGTTGACGACTTGGGATTGGGACGTAGCATGACGATAGAACATCCCGCCACCTCTAAAAAACAAAACCCCAACTGCATGTAATGTAATGCATATACCAACTGCCAAATCCATGTCTCTTTCTCTCTCCAAAATTCTCTCTCTTTCTATCTCTACAGGCCAAGGCCAAGTCCAAACCAATGTTCCAAAACAGATACTAATATATAGAACCAGAAGACAAACCAACCAGAACCCATTTTCCTTCTATCATGCATTCTCTCTTCCTCACTTTTTGTATGTGATGGAAATACATAAACACACTCGAAAAGAAGCCAAAGTAAAAAGGAAAAAGAAAGCAAGAAAAAGGTTTTCGTTTAAAGGAGAAGTCAAAGAGACCTGTGTTCAAGCATGTTGATATTAGTCCTTTGTCTCTTAATACACCCTGAAGCAGACTCGTCACCAGCGGTTCTCTCCATCACTGCCTTGAGTGCTTCTTGGATCGAACTTATAGTATACTGTTGCTGTTGTTGTTGCTGCTCGTTGTCCTTAGATTCTTCTTCCCCAGTGATGAACAATACGTTCTTCACGCGTCCCCCAAGTGTGGTGATCTCGGCTTTCACTGTTCGAAGTCTCAGAGCTTTCAGGGTCTTGATAAGTTCGGGCAAGAGATCAGACCTGTCCTCACAACATAGAGAAGCTTTAATTATGAGCTTTCCATCTTCATCTGAAGCATCGACCGTGAGCTCGTCAACCTCAGTTGGGACTGGACTCACTTCTGCAATCTGGGATGTCTGACGTTTCAGTTCTTTCACGTGTTGGATCACTTCCGCAAGCAATGAAGCCTTGTCTGTCTATAATCAAGAGCAAAACTATTAGAGACTAAATAAACTTGCACTTTACAAAAGTTAGTTACCATCAGCCAAGATTAGTTACAAGTTTGTTAGTTAGTTTTCCTTTTTTTTTTCTTCTTCATTTTGCTGTATATAACCCCTTTGTAATATTTTTCAAATCAATAAAGAGAATTATCTCTCTCCAAATTCTAATAAAAACCAAAGTTAAAACATAGATAAATAGACAGAGAGATGGAGGGATCAACTAGTTCTAGTTGTTTATTTCTGGAGCTTTTGATGTATGGAAAGAAGAGACGGGATTGGGAATTATTTTATTCTTGTAATGGAGCTTTAATGGGAATTGTTTGTAGGAGAACTTAAGGGTCGAAAGGCACGTTCTTTGGGACTGACAAGGTTGCTTCTTTGTCTTTCTCTCTTTCTCTCCTTAGTTTCATTCTTCACCGGCAAGAAATTTCTGTGGAAGCTTTTAACTGATCTCTGGTTCCTCTTTATCGCATCAACTGAGCGACTTTAACGCTTATTTATTTTTCTTTTGGATTTTTTTTTTTGTTTGAATCCTCGGAACTACAAAAGCTTTCAATGAAGACCCCATAGAAAAATACAAAGGAATAAATACATAAAACTATAAAAGAGAACAAAAAGAAAGAAAAGAGAAGAGGATGAAGAGAAGAAGATAAGAAGAGAAAGAAAGAAGTTGCACTTACTAAACTGATAGTGCAGATCGAGGACCTATATATAGAGATCTCTGGATCAAATGTGTCAAGATAAAATTTAACAAAAGGATAAAGAAATCAACAAAAATAAAAATCAAAATCCGACATGAAGGCTTGAAGAAACTAACAAAGTTTTCGTTTTTTTTTCTCTTTTAACTACTTACTTTGGTCGTGTTAGGAAGCAAGCTACGCAGTTTAGCAAGATGGTTATTAATTCTCTCTCTTCGTCTCCTTTCGGCCTCGCTGTGGCTCTTAGAGGCTGCAAGCGCTTTGGCGTCCATGATCTCCTGAGCTGTCATCTTACCCAACTCTGCCTGAATGCCAAAAGGAGAGGAGCCAGGTTGAACCACCGGACCGTGGGGATCTGATATGAGTCGGAGATGGTCAGATGATGGACCATCATAAGCAAACTGTAGAGCAGAAGCTCTTCTGCCGAATAAGCCACCGTATGGTAGTGGAGGAGGAACAAGAAATGGGTCGTGGTCTCGAACTGGGTTGGTTGAAAACTGATGAACTGGGTTGAATGTGTGAATGGGAGGGAGAGACCACGGTATGATCGGAGAGAGTTCAGGGAGGAGTAACCCACCACCTCTCCCTGCAACCCCACCTTCATAGCCATCACTATATTGCTGTTGGTGGTGTTGTTGAAGCTGCTGCTGTTGGTGTTGGATAAATAATTGTTCTTGTTTGCCTTGAATGCTCTGGATAGTCTGAGAACAATCACCTTGATCTTCTTCTTTCTTCGCAACCATATCTAACTTACTCTTTAATCTGTATCTAATCAATCCCAAACAATAACAAAACTAGATCTCTCAAATTCAAGAACAAACTTCACACTTGTTTGACATTTATCTCTTGCTCGTTAAATAGAGATTACTTGGTTTAGTCTCACTGGATGAATAGAGAAAAGGGTAATTGAGAAAGTGATCAGACAGATGTTGCTTGAAATGTGATGACGGTTCGTGGTCTCTCTCTCTCTCTCGTGGAAGGAAGAAATTGAGAAAAAAGAAAAGGCAAAGGTGAGACTCTTTCTATCCTTTCTCTTCTCCTTGGTTGTTCTGCCACGCCTTTGTGCTACCCTTTTTTTATCATCCTCGCCTATGCTTTTTTCCTTCTCTTTGTGATTGTTTCTTTTCCTGTTGTATTCTGGGCTCTGATCACTCCCTCTCTCTACGAGTCTAGTGTGATGAATCTATCTAAATGACGACCATATGTATATGGACACTCTACTACATGGTAGTAGTCTCTTTCCTTTCTTCTCACGGCACTCTTTCTCTGTGTCTGTTGGGTTCTCTCTCCCCTTTTTTTAATAAAATAAAAAGGGAAAAGTTTGTATTTAATACGTTTTCTTGTGGTTAATACGAATATTATAATGCATGAGATATGTTTGTTATTGGTTCAAGGTGTATAATTACGCTCTGTGACTGCTGGCGCAGCAGCAGAAGAGAAGGGAACACAACAACAACACAGTGAACACACAACACACCGATTGTCGACCGACCAAAGACCGAGCCGGACAATGATAAAAGGTTTCTCTTACCTCGGTCAAGCCCCCACATTCCTCCCCACTCGCCATTTCCATGCTGCTTCCCCAAAACCACGTAATCATTGTGTCTTGGAACACACTCCTCTCTCTCTCACAGCTCCTCGATTTCAGTTGCATAATTTCCAGGGAATCCTTTATCGAAAATAAGAGCCAAATTCATCAATACCCATCACCCCATTTTAAGTTCTATTCTCTTTATTCATCTGTTAATTCTTAGAAACTCAAACATATGGAGCAAAATTCAATAATTCACTATTGGACAAGTTCATTTCTCCTTTTTATATGGGTCCCCCTAGCATCAGTAGAGAATGGTCTCCTCACTCGGATAAGCCTATTTCCGTATTTCTTCTAATCCCTTCTTTTGTGGGGGAGAGGAGCTGAGGCACAGGGTAGGTAAGCTCAAACATTGTCAAAATCTTTTCAATTTTTGTCTCACAGTCCTCGCATATGCCTTCTATGCTGATCTTTCCAAACTATGAAATGCAGGAAAAAAATGTCAAAATTCATCCGTACCCATAACTCAAATGCTCTTTTTCTTTTGGGCTGGTCTAGTCTCCCTATTTAGACCGTTCCCTGTAGAGGGTCGGGACAAACATGGGAATGGGATTGATCAAATTAAACGGGTTTAGAAGCTGCTCTATATCCTGTCCTGCTTCTAACTGTGAACTCTAACGTGGTTCATATTCTCAGTCTGATTAATCCAAACAATTCAGCTCTTAAGGAGAACAATATAGATATATGCTCTTCTGTGAAAAAAACCAATCATGTCCATGCCCCATTAGGTTAATGGGGGGTGAAGAACAGTTTTGGGCCCATAGATTTGTGGATCAAAGCACACAAACTTTTACAAGTGACCAATTGGCTACCACACACCCACAAACCCATATTTTTTTTATTTAAATAGAAAAAATGAATAAAGCTAATCAGTGCACATGACAGTTCTATTGTCTCCGCTTCTGTTCAGCCCTTCTTCTTCTTCTTTCCTTAGTACCGACTCCCTTTTACCTTATTGGGTCAGTCTAGTTAATGTTTTTCTCTCCTTCCTGTGTTCCAATTTGCTTTGGTTTGGAAGTTTAGAGAGAGGAGTTTTGGACCTTTTTTGGTACACGCATGGGTTGCTTTGGTCCCCATTCCTTTTTGTGTTTCATCTTTAATTACTTTTCTATTGTTTTTTCTTTTTTCGTTTTTGTCTTTGTTATTCAAAGATTTGATGATGACCCTTCCACCACAGCAACGAGAGAGGGCTTAATTAGAGTGGGGTTTATCATGACATCATCTCCACTGTGTCCTGACGTTTATGCTTCAAGCACTAACAAGTTCTCAGTTCTCACCCCATCCCTCTTTTATGGCTTACAACATTTCTCTTATTTTGTTGTTTAATATTATTTGATTATTTCTGTATATTAATTGTTCCTAGCTAGTCTCCCACCATAAGTGCGTATTTTAGTAAAAAACTCCAAGTGGGTTCCTTTGGGTTGTTTTTACTATTAGACTTGTATATTAAAATCAATTAAGTGAGCGTGGATGAACCATTTTTTCCTTACTGGTTAATGGGTCAATGCCTTCAATATAAAAATTTTCAGAAAATAGAAAAAAATACAAAGACCCAATAACCCATTTATCGGATCTCATGGGTCAATGGTTCAACCATCAAGGTTGCTAGGCATTTATAAGTTTTTATATAATAATATAACGGGTTAGGGTTTTAAGCCCCGCAAATTTGAGCTTGTCTTGTACTGCCGGTTTTAAACCTAGATAAAAGAGAAGGGTTGCATCATTTTTCATGTTAGGGTGTATTTTAGACTGAAAAGGACTTAAATTAAGTATATGTTTGGTATCTATGCTGAAGATACAACAGAAAATGGTGCTATTGATGTGTTAGTTGGAAGCACCATTATGTTTTCTGAGGAAACAATGCTTTTTTTTTTGTTTGGAAGCGTTGCTACCAGGTAGGACATTTCTTGGAGCAACAACAATGCCTTCTGTTTGGTATCAATGCTCCATATCTATTTTCAGCACTGGTACCCCTTATAGGAAGCCTACATCACTGCTAGACCTGTTTATGGGCCGGGCCGGGCTTTGACTCTTTATTAACAGAAAAATGTTAGGCCCGAGCTCGGCCCGACCAACGGGCCTACAACTTGGGCCCGAGCCCGGCTCTGATAAATAGCCTGAAGCCCGAGCCCGAGCCCGAAGCCCGACCTAATAAAAGAAATTCGAATTTTTCCCTATTCAAATGGACATTTTTTATTTTAATTTAGATGTTTTTTCCCCTATTTAAATGAACAATGAGCCTACAAGTGAATCAACAACATTCTCAAATCAAAAAATTTATTCAAATGGACATCACATAGGGTTTTTACTTAGGTTTAACTATAGGTCGGGCCGGGTTTACTTAGGTTTAACTATAGGTCAGGCCGGGCCGGGCTCGGGCCGAGCTATTTTGGCAAAGCCCGAGCCCGGCTCAAATTTTATGCGAGTCGAGCTTTTTGGCCTGAGGTTAAGCCCGCGGGCCAAAAAGCCTGTTCAAGCCCGTTTGGGGGTCAGACCGGGCCGGCCTGTCGGGCCACCCGGCCCATGAACAGGTCTAGTCACTGCCACATCATGTTCTCATTGGCAACAACGAGCTCCAATCTGAAAAATTAAATATCACATTCAATGTTTCTCCAAATCACGCTTTCTCGATTTCCAAGGCATAGCTTGGAATACCGTTTTTTTTTTATAAAAAAACGGTTTCAAACATATTGACATTTCCTGGAGCACCGTTTTTTTCCAATATAATGCTGATGTATCATCATTTTCTGGAGCAACTACATCAACGCCAAACAGACATCAATAAGTGATTAAGCATCAATAATTTAATAATGGATATGACACTAAATGAAATATAATGATTAAACAGAATTTATGTAGTTGACTTGATATAGTTGAGACAAGGCTTAGATGACGATGAATAACTTAGATCACTGGATCTGGACCACTAATGGGTAAAAAACAAGGTTTAAGTATACATTCTCCATTTAAGTGTTCATTCCCCATGATTCATCATATTCATATCTAAGTTTGAATAAAATCAACTCTAGAGCTATGTTTAAAATGTCGAGGATTTTTTTAGCAAACAGTATGGCCTTCTAATGAACCCAGAGAAAAGAAATAAAGGGCATGTTCTGATATTAACGCTTACATGCACAAGCTTCCACTATTCCTGGATGAGCCATACCCCTCAAAATAATTAAATCGGATGAAACAGAATTAACTACTTACATTCAGATGCTCAGAGTCAACATCCATTTGTAGTTGTTTAGACAATAACCTTCAACATGTCGACCGAATGCCAGAACAAGAACAGTTCTCAGGGGATAGCCATGACTACTGAACCATTAATTAAACCATTTTCTATATGGTGTGGCTGAAAATTAAAGGACTTATCAGTCTGAACTAAACAAGTGTTCTTAAGGCCTAATTTTATGCACAAAAACTTGATTTTTTTTTTTTTTGCTCCAACCCATTAACCATGTGTACTGCTTCCAAATCATAAAAGTAAGTGAGAAAAGGTTGGTGCCTTTTCCTCAAAACATCTATTTTATTTAATTCTTTACTAGTACTTAGTAGAGGCATGCGTGATGTATTCACAAAAGACACAATGAGATAATAATCGCCTTTAAACAGACAAGTTATAATAATTGTCTTTTCTATTCCTCTTAGTGGCGATTTCATAACATGAAGCTCCACTCTGAATGAATTGTATTAGGGTGCATTTGATTTATGAGAAAATTATTGAAATTTATAAAGTTGTGGGACAATGCTTAAGGTGGCATGTGGTTCATCACTGACAAATTAAATAAAATTTTCTTTTCTTTCTTTCTCAGCAATCTCTATGAATTTTATAGAAATTGTTACACGTAAATGAACCAGTGATAAAGCAATACATCATAATGACACATTTAAAGTTGTTAAAATCTTTAATGATAATTACACTTGATAAAATGTGAATCAATAAAAAATAAATAGACCAAGTGATGTCTTTAAAATGATTGATTGAAAATTTAAGAATGCTTCTTCTTCTTCTTCTTCTTCTGGTATCACATGTTACGTACACATCATGTTCACATCACAAGGGATTTTGAAAGAGTGGGGAGGGAGCACTCAGGATTTTTTATTATATCCACTCTTTACCCGCCGTGAATTGGAGCCACACATCTCTATTATGAATTGAAAGATGAATGTATGACTGCAATTCATGGCGGATAGAGAATGAATAGAAAAAATGAATATAAAATCTGGGCTGGAGAGAGAGAGAGCAGGATTCACACGGGTCCACGCACTACTGACCTTACCCTAGAGAGTGGCTGTATACAAAGCCTACAATTACATGGATATCGGCTAAGTAGGGATTTAATTGAAAGGGCTAGACAGAATATCATCCCAACCTTTATAGTTGCTCTCAGATTGAGACCTACATCCTGTAATGGTCCCAATGCAGATGCTAATAAAATTAGTTCATTTTGTACTTGTGTTCTGAGGCAACAATTAACAAGGTCCATTTGAGCTAGCAGCTGTGAGACTCAGTAATATGATTCAGTCCCTTGGACATTTGGACCTATTCGATATTTAATCTATTTCTCTCTCTCTCTCCAAAGTTGGCAACTCAAATTTTGCTGTTGTTCATGGAAAATGTGTCCTAGTATGAAGTTTGTCTGGTTCCTGTACTAGCTAGCACCTCGATTCACGTACTGTA